TGAGTGATGCCCCTGCCCCATCTGGTCAGTTCTGCACTCCTCAGAGCCTTGGCTCTCACAGTGATGCACTTCTAATACCTGCATGCTCAGGTTGGGTTTTATGCTGAGTCCAAGCAGTAGAGCTCCGAAGAATTCCTGGGCTCAGGGTAACAGCTGGGAAATGGTCCCTCGGTCACTCACAAGGCTCTGACACATACACACACACACCGAGACTGCTCCGTCAGGGACTCAGGGCGGCCTCTTCTGAGTTGACAGCACTTCTCATCTTCCAGAGAAGCTCTTGGCCACTCAAGCCTCCTGAACACACTCAACTACCCAGCCAGCACCATAGCTGGGGTTGCACCTGAACTTGGGCCTGGTCTGGTGGTAAGAGGAGTCCATGGTGGTCTCTTTAATAGACAAAATCAGGATGGCCTTGTGGCCTCAGGACCCACCCCAAACCACTGTCAGCCTGCCGTTCAACCCCAGGCCCAGCCCTCACTCAGGGCCTTGATCCTGCAGACACCCACCTACCCCATTAGCACCAGGCTCCCACTCTGCATGCAGGGCTGACCCTCTTGTTCCCCGTCCCAGAGCAGCCCCTCCTGCCTCTTCAAACAAAGCCGGTGCAGGTTAACCATTCTCAGGGCCACACTCCCATAGGAGTCATAACTGGCTCCTGTCCCTGCACCGTGGAAGTTGTTAACCCTGGAGCAGGGAGCCAGAACTTCAACACCAACGCCCGCCGGCCTCCCCTGAAGAAGTGAAGGAGCCAACCGCTCCTCTGGGAACAGTGCTGTGTTTGTTCTTTCAGGCCCTCCTACTGCTCTGGTAACCACACAGAATATAGTATCTGGCTAGCCTTTCCTTGGAAAATAGTCAGGCTGGCATGGAGACATTAGTTCCCTTCCCAGTGCCCAGAAAGGAGGAGGGCGGAATGGCACTGAGGCCCCTCAAGTGCATGAGGACTGTTCCCACTTCAAATCTCCACCAGCCTTCTTTGCTAGAATGCCTCCTCCCTCCAGTGTCCACACCTGGATGGACTTCCCCAAGATGGTAAGAGGGAGGAAGAAGGAGTAGCCCAAAAGTGATGGGGTGGGCGTGGCAGCCATGGCACAGCCAGCTCCCTGCCTGACTGGCACCCAGCCCAGGAGGGCATTCCAGGCTCTTCCAGAGCCCCTCATGGGTCCTGCTCTTGGAGGGGCAGGAGGGTAGGTCCCCGCTCCCCAATCCCCTGCAGGACCAGGCATCTCCTCTGGTAGTTCTCAACCAGGGCCAGTGGAGCTTTAAAAAATCCTGATGCCCAGGCCCTATCCTCAGACATTCTGATTTCATGGGTTTGAAGTGTGTCCTGGGCATCAGGATTTGTAAGAGGCCCAGGGGAATGCCAGTGTCAAGCCAAATGGAAAAAGAGCAGCTTTCTGTTCCAAGCAGGACTTTCTTTTGGCAGCTGTGTGTCCCATCTGCACATGCAGGATGGCCTGAGACATCGGATTCTCTCTCATGCAAAGACAAGACAGGGGCTCTTGGGCTTTCTTAAACTCTCAGGACTGGACTGAAGGAATTTTTTTGGTGCAAACTGGCCTGATAGATAACATCAGCTGGGGAAGAAGTCTGCAGAGTTTGCAGCTGGCACCTCCACACCACGACCTTGCCACCAGGTTACAAGGAATGCAAGTCCAAGACCAACCCTTCCTCATACACAAGCAGACACTTTTGAACAAGACTCGTTTGTTAGCAAGCAAAGAGAAAAAACGTTCATGCAACCTATTCGGTGGGCTCAAGTCAAGTTCCAGTTCTCCATTCTTATAAGTACTCTGTTGACTAACACCTGGCATGAAATATTCAAGTCAAAAGCCAACCCAGAATTAGGCTGCTACAACCCACCAGTGGCCTGGGCTGTCTGCAGGAGAAGCCAGGCATTATCCCAAGGCAGGGTTCTTGTGTCCTACTTATGCAAGAATGGAAAACTCTCTGCAAGATATTGTAAACATCTATGTCAAACACCTTTCACCTCAGCAATGAGAATCCATTTCTGAATGCACACTACAGCTCCCTGTTTTCACCAAAAAACAAAAACCCCTGCAGTCTCCAGTTGGTGGCTGATTGAAATAGAGACAACAGGAAGCCTCCTCTTGGGTGTGGACGCACCTTGGCCTGAGATCCCTTGAGCAGAATACTTGCAGCACCTGGGGCATAGTTTAATCTCAGAACTACACATGAAGTCACATGTAGATGCCCACATGGTTTCAAAGTCAGTCACGTAAGGCACGGAGAGGGGCTCAGCCTCCCCTCCAGGTTTCTGCCGAAAGGGCAAACCTGAATCTGATCACAATCAAACACCAGACAGAAAGGAGGAGCCTTCTATAGAATCTTCAACCATGCTCTCTAAAAGCACCGATGTCCTGGAATGCAGAGAACTGCTCTGACCTGTTCCCACTTACCAAGTGTATAGTAGAGATTCTGTTGATCCATAAGATAAAATTCACTAAAAGCATTGGTGAATCCTAAAAGCATTGGTGGCTTGTTGTACGTATATATTTATCAGTAAACAAACACCCCAAACACCATTACTGCCGTTGCTGTTTTCAAGTAGGAAACTGAAGCTCTGTCGATTGACATAGCTACTGCCAGCCTCTGAGCCCGCACCCAGGACCTGGGGATCACAGGCTTAACCTAGCCTGACCCAGGCCCAGGCAACTACCCCTCTGGGCTCAGTTCCCTTTGCCTTTACTGGGACAGGAATGAGCTGTCCCCTGGTCCAGGCCCAACCCTGTCACTTCCCAACCCACAGCCCTTGAACAAATCGCAGCCTCACTGAGTCTCCTTCCTCAAATAAAATGCAGCCACACTCTTACTGCCCAGCTCACCAGGCTGATGCAGGAATCAAATCACATGGGGTTTGTAAATGTTCTTTGAAAACAGTTGAAAAATAAACCTCCAAACATGCAAGTAAATAAATAAAACCAAAGCCATGCACATAAAAGATACTACTGCCTAGGAAATGCTACCTTCCTTCTTGCCCAGATTCTTCTGAAGGGAGTTGGGAGTGAGGGAAGCAGCCGTTACCACAGCATTTGAATTTTATGACACTATTTATCAGTTCCAGAGGAAAAAGAATCAGAGGAAGGGATTAATTTGGGTAACCCAGCCCCATTACTGATAGCTGGGTGATGTGGGCACTTGATTTGGCCACTAGGAGCTTCTGTTTCCTACTCAGTAGATTAAGAGGTGATAGTATTTGCTTATAAATTGTTGGGAGGATTAAAGGAGATAATTCACAGATAACCACTTTTATGCCTGTAGTATTTATAGTAAGTTCTCAGTAATTTATTTTACTATTATTATTATTTAAAAATAAAATTCATATTATTAGGTCCCTACAGGGCAAGATCTGAGAAAACCAGGGTACTAAAAACTCTTCAATTCAACAAGAATTTATTGACTGTCAACCTAGCATTGTGCCAAGCATTGTATATAAATGAGAATGTTCAACTCAGCCTCATTGAATCTAGAATCCCACCGGGAAGATCTGCACATCCATGAAGACAGAACCCATGAGTGTCTGATTATGTATTTTCCCTCCTTGTATCATGTAAGCTTCTCACTGGGACACAGAGAACTTGAAGCACTGACCTCGATGGCGCCCCTCGTGGAGGAAGTGGACGCGGCGCCCTCCTTCCCGGGCAAAGTGCAGATGACATCATTAGGTAGCAGGTGGGTAGAGCATGCGCAGACCGGGGGAAGAGGGGTCTGGCCCAGGCCTCGTGCCCTTCCCCAAGCAGAGCAGGGTGGTCCTGGCCAGTGAGGCAAGTGCGCTTGATGCTTTAAGAGGCCTTGGTATTTTCCAAACACGAGGATGCTGAAAGGCCTGAAAGACTGCCGAGTAGTAATAGCATTACTTCTGCCACTGGCCCTTCCCAGCGTGAAGACTTCATGCGCGCTTTTCCACATAACCCTCCCCGGCGTGCTTGGACAGAGAGAGGTTAGGCGGTTTGCCAAGGCTACTCGGCAGTAAGGGGCAGTCCTGACTTCCTGAATCATATGGCAGGCCCCCTCCCCAGGCTCCCGACAGTACACAGGCACCGGGAATCTGGCTGGCAGTGCAGGTTCTGGGCCCACCCCCACCCCCACCCCCAGAGCTTCCAGGTCTGGAAGGGCACAGGGCCCAAGAATCTGCATTTTTAACCTACCTCAGTGAGCCTGATATTGGTCAATCTTGGACTATATGTGAGCAAAAATATAAGACTATCCTGGATCCCCGGGAAAACCACTGCATGACTCTGCCTCCCGCCCTTACTCTCCGGTTCTCTCTCTGATTCTGTGTGTGTCCCTCTTTATAAGAAACCTACGTGAAGGAAGTAAGGATCTGAGGAAAACAGTCCATGAATGCTTCTTTTCTGTAAGGAAGCAGAAACGTTGCCTGAGGGCAGAGAAGAGACTGTAAGAATAGAGACTTAGAAATCAAAAGCAGGCTTCTCTCCCGCTGCTCCCAGAGGCCAGCCAGGCCCACGACACCGGCAATGTTCAGAAGCTTGAGGAGACCAGATGGCCTGCGTGGAGGGCCTGAGGCCGCTGAGGAGACTGAGCCAGGCCTGGTGCATGCTGGGTGCACGCTGGTGTCCTTCAGTGAAAGACTCAGGCTCGCGGGATCCTTCAGGCTGGGCTGTGAGCACTGTCTTCCCATATGGGTCTAAGAACATTACCCACTGAGCACCTATGTCAAACATAGGCTTTGTCCAAATCCCCCTTGCTATGGGGTTTCAACCTGTGACAGGCAGGCTTAAAATGGAAAGCAGCTGTCTGAGTTGGCTCTCTGACTGTAGAAATGTTAATACTGAGTTTTCAGCAACCCAGTTTAGCTACCATTTCAGCCTTAGTCCCATACCTCCCTAGCCTCAGCCACTTCGTTAGCCACGGAGTACCCCAGGGGAGACTGAGTCCGCTGAATCCAGCCGGCCGCCCCTTGGCACAGCCCTGCCTTCCCCCGGCTGCCCACCTACTGTAGTCTGAATCACACCAAGGTTCTCTTGGCATGCAACAGAAAAGACGAGTTAGCTGGATGATGGCAACCTTCATCTTGAACTTGATACTATTCCCACTTAGGAGCTGTAAGGCAAACACATATTAAAAATGAAAGACTGAATTCTCCTTGTCAGAAATAAGGGAAAAGACTTTGTTCCCCTCCCTTTTCTTAGAGCACTGACTTCAGAAAACTTGGGAAGTTCTTTCTCTGTCTCTTTGAAATGTATATAAATCTTTTTTAGAACCTAAATGAGCTTTTTGCCACCTTTATGACCCAGGCAGATCTTTCTCAAGAGCCCTGGAGCCATTTCTTTGAAATTGAAACATCAAGGGGATAGCACATCTGCCAGATTTTATTGGAGGCCAGGAGCTTAACTTCAGCAAGCAGGTGCCTGGCTCCAAGTTGCAAGACTACTTCATGCCGTAAGGATAGGAGATCATCTGTCCTTTGCATACGGTCAATGAACTAACACAGAGAGAGACCCCAATTACCAGATAAATTTAGGATGAACCATGTGTGACAAGTGGTGATGACAAGTTCTCATATTTGGTAACTAGTCATTATTTATCTTAAGGCTATATAAGCAGTGGGTTGAGTCTGCTTGGCAGTATGAGCCGTGAGCTCCCCTTCTGCCTGTGCAGTGTCTTGGCGGATTGCCTGGGCTGTGCATTGTATTCTCATTCAATGCTTAGTTAATAATAAAATTGTTTTCTTTCTCTTCTACCTTGTGGAGAGATTCTTTTGGGTTGGGAGATTTTGTTTTTAATTCTATTTCCCCGGTAGAGCTAACTAGCCTCCCACCACCTTCTCCAGGGAGTGGGGCACCCCCAAACCTTGGACATCCTGATATTAGTCCAGCTATGGCTCCCTCACGGCTCCTCACCCCTGGGCAGTACTTGGAATGGACAGATGTGGGACCCCAAGCACTGCTGCTCACCCCCTAACTTTGGTTAGCAAGGAGGGTGAGGCCTTGCTGGATGCTCACCAGTGCGACCCAGTCAGGGACAGGGTGGTTGCTCAGAAGCCCACCTCGTGACAGAGAGCAGGGCTTCAGGATGGTGGCTTCTGTTGGGTTGGGCTGCCACGCCTGGATAAGCCTTAGGGGAGGGAGCGGGGGTGACATGAAGCCACAAGCTAAACATGCTTTATTTTCCTAGAGTGCCAAATACACAACTGATCAGTAATTTAAAACACTATTGTAATGAAAACAAATGGGGATTATATTACGCAGCTGGATTCCAAATTTCAGACTTGTTCCTAAGCTAACATGAGAGAAGACAAATACTTCCATGCCTCTCCCCTCGGCCTCCCCACCCCAGCCCCTGGAAGAGGTGCTTAGCTGGCAAATCTGAGAAGTTCTGCTCTTCTGCTGACAGGCCCACCCTGTGAGGTAGGCAGGGCAGGCTCTATCTCCCATTTTCAGGAGTAGCTCAGAGCAGTTCTGGGGGAGTGTGATCTTTCCATGCATGTGCACATGTGCACACACACACAAGGGGACACATGCTGTCCTGCTCTGGCCTGGCAAATGAGCCCCATCATGCACCACACTTCAGGGCCCTAGCAGGTAGCCAGAGGACAGAGGAGACTGGGAGAGCACCCTCTCCCATCATGACTCTCTATCCTGGTCGCTAGTGTAAGTCTCACGTGGAAGCACCAGGGAATTGTCAGAAAACACCCTTTACTCACCTTGCCCAACACAGCGGTAGGACAGCTGCCAGCCTCTGACTGCCCCAACACCCTGGTGGTCCCCCTACTGTACCAACACCTTGGAAGGTAGCCCTCCTGTAGAAACACAAGGGCAAATCCTGTTCCTGGTGGGACCCTGGCTGATACAGCCAGAAATAACCCTGTCCAAGCCTTCTCTTAGCATGTCACCACAAGGCCTCTGAACTACCCAGGTGAATGCCTGCATCCTGGAATAGTTCTCCCTAAGGAGAGGCAGTGGCAGTGTGAACAATCCCCCGTTCCTCCTGTGGATTGATCTCAGCTGGTTTACAGTCGACTCCTTGTGCGGCACAACCCCCCTCCCCACCCCAACCCAGGACCTTACACGGTGGCCAAGTCTGCATGGCTGTTGCTAAAACCTGAGTGAGTTATTCTCCTTGTAGGGTTCCGTGGGGCCAGGGCCTGGGAACTCACATGGCTGGGGTGGAGAGGTAAAACAGGGAGCAGGCAGTTGGGCGGTTCAAAGATCATTTCATCTAGTTTTCTAATATTCATCAAGTTGTGCGCTTTACCTTTTTAAAGGTGTGGAAACTGAGACCCAGAGGCTGTGAGGTGATCTGACCGAGGCCCCCCACCAGTGGAGTGGCCTGTTTTCTCTCCCTTGACATCTATCAGCATCAAAATCAGGATGGTCCGCGCTAACCGTATGTGACGCCCTGAGTCTTCGGACAAAAGCCAGAATTCGAAAAGCCAGACCCCGGTTTGTTTTAGAAGCTACACTGTTTCAACATAGGGGGTTGCGCAACAGCATTTTGCTTGCAAAGAAGCGACGCCAGAACTTCTCTGCCTGGTTGAGAAACCGCATGCGGTTTACTCTATGCAAAGCAGAAACACATTATGAAATGCCACTAACCAGAGCCCAGGTGGCGGCCATGAGTTCCTAGCTCCAGGGAAGAGGCTGTAGGAGGGAGTCCTGGGAAATATTGCTTTAGGCCAAGCCATTGAGTAACCTTTGGCTCAGAGGCTCCTAAATTTCTTAGACTCTGAAGTCAGCTCACAGTCCCTTCTCCCAACCCAGGATACTGGGAAAAAGGCTCATGGCCCAGGGCTTCCAAAGAAAATACTGGCTACCTTTTAGGAAGCTTTGCATTCAGAGGATCTGTGAGCAGGCCCCGTGACCAGGGAGAGGGGGCCGCAGCCTGGAATCTGTGCACTGCCTGTTCTTGTGTTCACTGCACGTTCTCAGACAGATCACTCAGCCTCCTGGATTCTCACCTCCTCACCTGCAAAAGGCACAGCCAGCAATTTCTACCATCGAAGATATCAAGGGGCCAGGATCCTTAGGTATGTCTGGTAGATCAGTACTACCTCAAGGCACACAGCACCCCAGGTCATAGCATCTGCTTTTACAAACTGACCTAAAAAAAAAAGCCATCTCATCAGCTGAAAGCAAGATTCTTTCAGTCCTGGCATTGAGGGAAAAGAGGGGAGAATATAAAGAATCAGAAGCCTTGAGTTCTAGCTGTTGCTCTTCAGAACTCAGTAAATGACTTTGGACATGCCATGGCATCTCTCTACCTCAGTTTCTCCCCCTGTCAAACGAGGTGCATGGGTGGGGTCACCTTTGAGATGACCTCAGAGACAGCTCTCCATTCTCTAAGTTCCTGGGAGGTCACAGCTGCCTCCACCTGCTGACCTCATGCCTGAGGAAAGCCAGCCTTCAAACGGGTGGCAGAAGGGCCGCCTGAACACCCTGGTGGCCCCTCTCCTGTCCTTTGCCCAGTGGCTGACCCCACTGGAGACCATCTCAGAAAGAACAGCCCCTCCAGGGGCCCCACTGATTCCTTGATAATTTGACCCTGAGTATATCAATCTCTGCCCATCAAGGTGGGCAAAGGAGGAAAACCACCATGTAGCCAAGGGTCACTGATCACATAAACCCTGACTGTGGTTTGCCAAGACTCACCTTCCCACCCGGATGCCGGCCTTTCCAGGGAAGCTGAGCTTTAAGGAGTGCGGAGGTGCGAGGGCAGGGGCCGCTGCCCTAGGCAGAGGGAAGAGTACGGCACGTTGGAGGAAACTCTGACATGTGGTCGGTTCCTTCTCCTGAACAAATGCTCCAAAGCTCCAGCCAGGGCGCATTACCAACATGAGGTGCCCTGCCACTCCACAGTTAGCACCCAATACAGTTGCCGCGAATTCTAGAGGTACAGTCTCTCTGTCCCTGAGTAAGACTTTCAGGCAGGAATTTTACTCTCCACAAACAACAAACTAACCCGTTGTTCAAGACCCCTGCAATACCCAGCAACAAAGAGTGCCTTGGCATTCTGCTTAGGAATCAGCCCAGAGAAATCACTGTCACCATCTAGGTTATGGTCATAAATATGCTTTTAAGCTGAAGGGGTAATGCAAGAAACATTGTTAATGGGATCCCAGAGGCCAGCACCAATCCCATTATTTATAAGACATGTAGAAGATACAGTGAGATAGCAGTTGGTGCCCATTTGGTACCCAGCCCTCTACTGCAGAGGAACATCCTTGCTGCTAGGGTTCTAGAAACAAACTAGGTCCCATCTATTAGATGCATTTCTTTGTGCTTCCAGAAGCTGAAGGGTATTGTAGCCATTGTCTGGTAGCTTCTGCTATTGCACTGGTGAGCATGACCACAGAGACACCAGGGTTTTCCATGGAGCGATCCAAGGGCCACTCACCCATGCTGAGGGTGCTGGAAGCTAGTTGAGTCGGGGCAGGGGCAGCTTCCCAATCCCCACGTCAGGCTGTGTGACAGGCCATTAAGTCAACATTTCCAGGGGTGGTCTCCTGATATCCCACCTGCATGGCCATGGCAGAGGCAGCAGCTCCCTGGTGGGCCAGTTCTGCAGAGCTGTTCCGAGAGTCAGTCCTGGACGCCTCTCCCAGAGCCTGCTCCAATCCATCTGATGTGAGCACCCAGCCGGGCCCAGGCTGCACACCACAGCAACACAAGAAGAAGCTGGTGACCCAGGTGGGGAATACATGCAAAGAGACTGCCACACCTCCCCTCCCTCCATTCGGCCCTGCCTGCCCTGTCTCTGTCTGTTGAGATCCAACTCACCCTTCAAAACTCAACCAGACTTGACTGTGAGTGTGGAGTCTCAAATGCCCACACTTTACAGGAAACCTTCCCAACAGCATGCCGGCAGCACTCCTCTCTGCAACTCCTACAGCTTCGTGCTTGTTTCTTCCCTCTAACAGACAGGACATCCATGTGCTGTTGTGGCTGTTTGCATGCTGTTATTCTTCCTTTTAAGATACTCACCTCCCTGAGGCAGGGACCTTGTCTTTTCGTTTGGTCTCTCCCAACACTTGACCTAATGTTTGATACCTGGAATAATCCCGTAATGCCCTGACTGAATGACACTCGTTGAGGAGACAAGACACAGAGCCCCTGGAGAACAGCACACAGCAGGAGATATAAGGGCTGAATGAGGGCTACTAACCAAGAATGGCAGGTCCCTTCTCCACTCCAAGAGCAAGGGACTACCCTTCTCCATACGCCCAACCCAGCCCAACATTCTCGGAGCAAATTGAACCACAGAGACACCACGTTTTAGGAAAAATTCAGGGCCAAACACTGGAGGAATGAATTTTAATCTGATCCATGCAAAATGCTATTTCCAGAATTCTCTTAGCCAGGTCTATGTCACCCTCACCACAAGAAATCAGATGGTTTGTGAGAAAGTGAACACATCTCAAATGCCCAGATAAAACATTTCCAGATTTGAGATCTCCCAGAGAAAAGCCAACCAGCCATCTCGTCACCCTGATGGAGCTCCAGTCGACAAGGGCTGCACAGGATACAAGGCTTCTAATTGCCATCTCATGCCCCATTGTTAAACATGAAAGAATGGTAGTGATGAATCATCAGACATTTCAGGAAAGTGCGCAGCTTGAAAGAGAGGAACCAAGAAAGACAAACAAATTCACAGAAAACTAAAGGGAAAAGAAATAGGAACAGGAAAAAAACAAACTCTAGACTGTCCCTGGATTAATAAGAGAAATAAGAATTAATATACCTAGCAGTATAAAAACAGGATATTAAGAGAAAGAAATGAGAGAACAAGAAAGATATCCTGGTAAACCAGAAGAATTTATCCATCTACCAAAGTACTGGACAAAACCTCCCTCACTTCTCATACAAATGGCATGTTTGAGGGATTCACCAAATCATTCTCAGGTACTATAATTCACTAAAAGGACTTGGAACTCACCAAAAGTGAGTAAACTCACAGTTATAGTTTATTACAGAAAAAGCTACAGATTAACATCAGCCCAAGGAAGAAGTAAATCAGGACCATCCAGGGAAAGTCCAAAACAGAGCATCTGTCATCATATCCCCATGAAGACAGGGTGCATTGCTTTCCTAGTGATGATATGTGATGATTCACATGAAGATTTGCTAACCTGAGAGTCTCACCTGAGTCTCTCTGGCCAGAGGTCTTGTGGGGACCCCATCACATAGGCATAGGTGAACATAGACTGAGCACAGGCTCTTATCTCCCATCACTGCTGACATGACACAAAATCACTGTTGGTCTCTCTGGCATGGCCAGTGCCTATGCTAAGACTACTGGGAGTGCCAGCCCCACACTAAATCATACTGTTGGTTGTCAGTGAAAGACACAGGGGCCTCAGCTGAGCCAGCCCAGACCGAAGAACCACCCAACTAACCCATGAACTCATAAGAAATAACCACTCTGTTGTTTGCAGCACTAGTTTGGAGGAGGTTCGTTACCCAGTAAAAGCTAGTGGATAAACATGTGATCCCGAGGCGGCATATCTCAAGAAAGCTACATAGAAAAGAAGGCCCATGACAGCCTCTCAGCCTACTCTTGACACTGCAGGGCCCAAGCCAAGATTACAAATGGAGGCCTACATTAAATCTAAGGGTTTACAAACTAGGACTCAAGCAACAAAACCCTTCAATGGAATATGTATATTCCTACCTCAGCAAATTCTCCCGTGTCCCAGTGTGGAAGGGCGAGGGAGCTTGGACTCCTGCTTGGAGACCTGTGGAGAGCCAGTCCCAGCCCCGCTTCCCCCTCACCTCAAGCTCTCCAGCTCCACAGGGACCTCACATGCAAGGACAGAGCCCCAGGCCCCCAGCTGGCAAGCTCTACCCACTCTCTAGCCCATCAGCCTGTGTTCCCACCCCTATGAGATGCCCTGGCCATCCCTTAGGCCAAGGAGTACACACGTACATGCACGCACGCACACACACACACACACACACACACAGAGCAAGTTCTGCTCTCAGGGTAACAGACCCAAAGAAGAAACTCCCACAGGCCCTGGACACAGACTCAGGGCAACACGATCAGCAAATCCCAGTCCCCAGGGTCCCCTGGGTGTGGTCTGGAAGGAGGGACACGGGTTCTGGCTGGCCTGACCCCTTGAGGTCACAGACTCCTTGCTCTGTGGGGAGGGAAGTGCCTGAGGGAAGGCTTTCTAAACACTGGGCTTGGGTCCGGGGTCCCTCTTCCTCAGTTGAGGATGGTGATGATGACGTAGGAGGCCTAGAAAGCCAATAGCCCCAACTGGAGTGGGAGACTGGAGAATCCCAAGATTCTCGGAAAAAAACAAATGGATTTGATGAGTTATTTCATGTTTTGCCATCTGGAATATGAGCTGGATCTTTTAACAAAAGAAAGAAATACCAATGGTAAGCCCATAGACATCAAA